CACACACACACACATACCGGTTTTCTCCTCGTCCGTCCATCCTCATGTGACGTGTCTCCCGCCAAAGATCCGGGGCCTGTGAGAAAAAGAAGAAAAACAAATGGAACGTGAATATCGAAATCAGAAAAATCACAGCCAAATCAAATCAAAGTCGTTTGTCTTAGTAAGGTTTTGCGGTGATCGCAACTACATATTAATATTAAGGTCATATGAGCGCCAAAGGGTGGATGTCAACAGGGAAGTCCAAACTTGGAATCAGGCTTACTCTGCTCACCTCTCTAGCCTCAACAGCACAAAGTCTGCTTCGACTATCAAAGCACCCCTTACACCGCAGTTCACAAGAGAGTGACAAACATACAAAAGAAGGAAAAATGACGATAGTAAGGACGGGGAAAGAAAAAGCAGCAGTTCCCCCGAATCCAAGCAGAAACAGAAGCACCTTGGGTACAGAAACAAGAATGTGGTGTGTGGTGCTCTGCTACTGTAGTAGAAGTTGTTATTATTGCTGGTATTACTGTATATCATGCTGTTGTTATTATTGTTATTTTTTATGTTGTTGTCATTGTTGCTGAGCTGCTGGTGCTGTTGCTACGGCTGTTATTGTTGTTGTTGTTGTTGTTGTTGTTGTTGTTGTTGTTGTTGTTGTTGTTGTCGCTGTTGCCAAATTAAAGCACTCAACGAGCAAGCACGATGAACACTGAGATAAATTCTCACTCACATTTTGACATAAAGGTGATTGTTAAGGAACAAAGGCACCAAATTTAACATAAAATACAAATCTTTGAAGAGGGAGGTGACTTGCAGTACAAGGGGTCCGCGAAAAGAAAAAGTATGTAATCATTTTCGCCAACGACCTTTAACAAAAATACATCAATCTATGATAAATTGTGCATTAGACATGTTTCAGTTTGTCTTCAGAGGACAGAAAATAAGTAGTATACGTCCGCCCACTTAAATATACAAAACATCATTTCATATTGTTTTTAGTATTTAATGAATTTGAAATTTCAGCTGATTAAACAGTACGTAGTCGCCCACCAGGGCTACGAGTCTATTTGGAGTAAAGATAATCGAAATAAAAACATTTTAAGCTTATTTTTCATTTTTCATTTTTTTGTTTTACTTTAGTTGTTTATGCTGGTTGCAACTATGAAAATACATGTAGATCTACACTATAATTATAATTCAAACGTTCCCAGATCTGATCATACCAGTAATATAATATACCCGCAGCCCTTTTTTTAAACTCTCCTAATGAGCTTCTGAAATAACTTCTTAAAATCTTTATGTCTTTCTCTCCCTTTGCCTCTCTCTCTTTCTGAGTGTAAGTCTCTATTTCTCTCTCTCTCTCTCTCTCTCT